ATCTCACCACTGTGATTTTAGCGAATTTGTATGAAGAAAAACTAAAAACCCACCACTTGAATCCAGGTTAAAAAGCATTGTAATGTGTGTTACTGACATTTGTTCCAAGTAGAATTACAATATTTTTTCCCTGTAATGTCTTACATTACTGCGTTACAGCAAAAAGCAGTGCATTACAGTAATTTGTTACTTTTATAATGCGTTACTCCCAACACTGTTTAACACACAAACCCTGCATTTAGGCTGAGTTCTTTGCTCAAACTGAAAACATTCTGTTCCACCTTGTGATGTCACGTGGTAATAAACTCCATACAGCTTCACTAAAATCGTTTGGATGATTTCAGCCCTGGAATTCCCAATCTCTACTGAACTAAAGGTAAAAGACAGCTGAGCATTTTGAGCTTTGGAGATGCAGACAGACAAATAACATGTGTGAATGAAGCCAAACACCACTCCAGGTATGTCTTTTGGTGCGTTAAGAACATTCTAACATGACTCAAAGCTCACAAGAATCTATTTTGTGTTATAAATAAGCTTTAAAAACTCTAGAGCTAATAGGAGGTGTTGGGTCATTTAGAGCAGCGAGGACAAAATACCAGAGGACTCTTAGTCAAACCTGTGACAAGCTCATTACCAATATTGCTGTGTATCTAATGACATCATCACGGTAATGCGTTTGTGGTGTATAATGAAGATGGACCATGCAAAATGACTCTTATTAATATGCACAGTTTGTGGTCTGGTTTGATCCGCATTAATGAACAGAGTCATGATCGGCCAGTTTGTTATGCAGATTTTGTGTTTGTACCTTTCAAATGAAAATACTTCATGTTGAAATCTTAAAGTGTCCATATTACGCTTTTTTTCTTTTTGTGGATCTGTTATAATGTTGTTTAGACTTAGATTTAGACAAACTGTATTGATCCACAAGAGAAATGATTTGGACACAGTAGCTCACACATCACAATATAATATAATAACAAAGAGTAAAAAATATAAATAGTAATAATAAATTCTAAATAAGACATAATTATATAAATGTAAATGTACAAGTCAAAATAAAATAGAAAGATAAGTAATAAAATATAAAAATTTTGCTATGTACAAGAGGTCATAGGAAGACAGTGCAATAATGATATGATGATTGACAGGACATAGGGTTTACTGTTACGTAAGGGTGAGTTGTTGTGCTGTTGTAGGGAGTATTATCTGTTCTAATGTAGTTTCCTCATCACAAACAGACCTGGAGTTGTGTTTTGTTTCTTTCACACATGTTTAACACAAATTTAGTCTGAGTTCTTCTCTTAAATAATCTGTTCCACCTTGTGATGTCATGTGGTATTACAAGAAGTGCGCCACTGTGTTTTTAAACTCCACACATATTCCAGGGTCTGGAAAAGTCATGGAGTTTTGTAAATTCAATGAAAGTGCTGGAAAAGTCATGGAATTTTAGTATCTCTTTCACGCAACTACAACGTTCTGTTAAGTTCATATTAGGCTTTAATGATTATTTCTGAACGTCTACGCTTTTTGTTTAAAAGAGACGACAATAAATGCACCGACAGGATTTTGAATGTTAAAAAACTATAATCCCAAACCATAAGGTGAGTGGAAAGAGTTAAGAAAAAAGTACTAGGAAACAATTTAAACAGATAAAATCATGGTTTAATCTGACTTTTTACAGATAAACACCATTTATCGACTAAATAAAAGAACAGATTACACCCCTACACTACCAGCCGAAGGTTTAGACGCACTAGTTTTTTATTTAATTTTTTTTTTTATTTAGCCCTAAAAGTCTGATCAATTCTACACATGTAGGTGCCATAAAGTCATGGAAAATTCACTTTAGGTCATGAAAAAGTCATGGGAAAGTTTTGAAATTTTGTCAGTGAAAAAGAGCGAGAACCCTGATATTCACTAGAATCATTTGGATCATTTCGAATCTCTCTACTGAGTCTAAGGCCCCGTCCACACCAGTATGTATTCAAGTCGTTTTTGTTGTGGATGCGCTGTCCGTCCACACTATTCTGATTGAAAACGGCTCCAGAGACGGAACGATCTGATGCCGCCAGCTCCCATGAATTCATTTGAGTATGGATCTGATCTGGCACTGTGTGGACGCCTGAAAACGCTGTTACACTGATGTGGGTCTATGCCCATATATGTCCAGTCATATATACGGTCTATGCGTACGACCTGCAGACGTATAATCTCTGAAAAGTTTAACATGAGCCATCTCCAACGCGATAAAAGCACAGATTCCACTGAGTCATGTCCTTTAGTCCGACGAAAGCTAATAACAAGCTGTTTTTATCAGCACTTAGTTTATGCAAATTAGCCATGTGGTTTTAAGTTTCATTTGTGTGAAAACGTAAACAAATATGCTCAAAACTGTGTGGATAAGGAAGGCTTGTGGACGCAGATCGTTTCTGATACGATGATACAGTGATTTGTTTCAGTGTAAACGTAGCCTAAGAGTTCACTTGAAAACTACTGCTTCATGACATCACAAGGTGGAACAGAGCATTTTGAGCTTTGGAGATGTAGACAGACGTGTGAATTGAAACAAAACACGAACTCCACGTATGTTTTTGGTGAGAAAAAACAATATTATAACATGACTTCAATGTGCATTGTGTAACTTCTCTGGTGGAGAGTCTGTTACTTAAGATACTTTTCTTCATGGAGATGTTATTGCTTTGTTTGGAATGTTTCACAGTATGGCATTAAACCTTTCTATCTTCATGGAGATCAAACCGGACCAAGTTACAGGTCAGATCTGTGGAGAGGTCAGAATGAGTCTTTTTTGGGTATTTTTGAGCAATAAAACCACCTGTAATTGAATAAATGTAAGGTAGAGCTGTTTAATGTGTGCACCTTTAAAGCTCACGGGAGTTTATTTTGTGTAATATTGGACCTTAAACTAAATATTTCTAAAGACATGAGCGGCTGGTGGAATAGCGTCCCCCAGAACATGTCCGGTCTAATAGCTCCTGTCCTCCAGGCTGTCCGTCAGAGGTCACCCGGCCTGACACGCTTTTGCCGCTAGCTCGTTGGCGTGTTAACAAAGGTCGCACCCGTCTGTCAGGTCCTTTATAAGTGAGCAGACAGGACAGGGGCAGAGGGCAGGGGGTACAGCTCTGTGACGGGGTAGACTCCGTTGTTCTATAGCTTATAATACTGAAACAGATGTCCTTCTAGTTGCGACCAGGCACAGACAGGGGGGTTCATTGTCAGATTTATTGTTTTCCGAATCTCAATAAAGGTACTTAATGATAATTGCTGCATATTTTTAATGTAAATGCCGTCTCCTCTCCATGGATCTGACCAGTAAATTGGCCTGTTTCTATCAACGACTAGTCTCCATAGACTTCAGACAAACTTTTTAGACACAGTAGCGCACACACCTCCTCATTAAACAGCTCGATAGGTTTAATGCCGTACAGTGGGACATTGTACGCATAACATTTACATCTCCATGGAAACGAGCAGTGCCGTCCATTTGTTTTGCACCAACATAATATTTAAATGAAAAAAAAGGTGACATAATTGATGCTTTGCAGTTATATCATGCTGGGGGTGTTCTACATGTATCTCTGTTGGTGGAATGTTCATCAGTTACCATGGTGACTCAATGAAAACTTTAGCAAAGACAGACAAAACAGGTTTAAGCCTGAAAACTCAAGAAAAACAGAATTAAATAACACGTTTACAGGAGCCTGTGATCAGTCCGAGCATTCATGGTTCTAACATTTTTTACTCTTTGTGTGACTGACTGTGTCCAAATAATTATTACCTGGTCCCCGAAGGACTGACCAGGTTTTGTATTCACCCTGTGTGTGTGTGTCTGTGTTCTGCCAGTTATGGACCAGTTGTCACTAAATTTGGTATGTGGGTCAAGCCCCTGTGCCCGATGCCGCAAAAAAATTTTGGTGACCACCCGAGGTCATCTGAGGTCATGCGGATCAATTGAAAGGTCACGCCATTATAAAGGATTTGGCAATTTCTGCAATTTCTGAACCATCTGCGGCCTAAAATATTCACCCAATCATCACACAAGTTGGCACACACATAACCGAGGCACACTGGATGTTACAGGTTAAAACCGGTCAAGGTCACATGAAGGTCAATGTAACCAAGGTCAAATATGCGTTTTTGGGCATAACTCCACAAAGGATGGAGCTAGAGCAACGGGAGTGTCTCAAAATCTCAGAAAAAAATATTATCTATTTATAATTCTATGCATTTGTATAGTGCAATATGAATAGTTTTCCAGATAATCATTAATTATAACAGTTCCTTTCTCTTTCAGTTTAGCCGTTAAAATTCTAATTGGAACGAAAATAATTTCCATTTCTTGTTTTTCTGGTGATACACACACACTGATCTACAGTCACACAACTAACACACACACAACTCATGAAAAATGACATTTTGGTTCCACACTAGTAAACACAGACATTCTCATGTGTGACCAACATCACACTAATGTTCATGGGCCTGTACACATACACACGTTGCATTGTGGATATAATGATCATGTCATATGGACTGGACTCTTCATAAGCTGCTTCCTTGATAATGAACAGACCTCATCGATGCCTCATGGGGACCAGGTTGATATCTCTGATTGCGCTTTTTTCCCTTGTGGATCAAGTTTTGTTTGTTTATTTAAGTCTAAGTGTAAAAAAACTGCTGGCTACCACTAGGTAGCTTGTGTCTAATATTTTGTGTGAGAGACTTGTTTAACAGGACACATCAGCTCACCTGTTGTAATTCCAACTAACTCAGCTCTTTCTGGTCAGTTTGGATTAAAATAAAGCTCAGATTAAGTTTAACTTGTGTAACAGAACTTCAAACAGAGCAGTGTTTTCAGATAGCATCACACCACCATAGAATGTTAAGGACATCAGCTGCAAAGTATCAATGTATTTATCTGAGATCAGTACGTACTGTTTTAAGAGTACTTGTATGTACTTTGTAAGGTGTGGTAGTACCTGGGTCACAGGAGTCGGGGCAGGGCGTCCACTCACTGAAGGGCGTCACGATACAGTCCCTCTTACAGGACAGCTGACAGGTGCGCATGGTGCTGGGGCGGGGGGCGTCTGGGCACCTGCCGAAAACAGAGGGAGAGAGACAGAGGTGAGAGAGTGTACTGAAGTGAGAGAGAGATACCTGGATTTGTGTTTTATTTCATTCACACATGTTTGAGTAATCCTTTGTTATTAGTCTGCCAGCATCTCATAAAACTATAATCAAATCTGAAGTGAACCCCAAGATGGCACCGTATTGTTTTCAGTGGCCTGTGCTCATTGGCGCATGGGCCCAAAACGAATTTTCTCTTCTGCATTTACTTCCTCAGTCCGGGCGAGCTCCTCCCACCCGTGTGTTGCCTGTAATGTGCACAGGGTGGAGCGTTTGGACCAATCAGAGCGAGGCTAGACTAAGTGAATGAATAATGGCCTTTATTTGTCAATTTCTTCACATGTACACTACCTGTCAAAAGTTTTACAACACCACAATTTTCCAGTTATTTATTGCAGTTCAAGTCATGCAAGTCCAATGAAGAACTTGAAATGGTACAAAGGTAAGAACTGAACAGACAGAGGTGAAAAAAAACAAAAAAACAAGGTAAAACAACAAAACACAAGTCCAAGCTCTGCCAAAACTACCTCAGGAAAAAAAGAACAACATGGTGAGTTTGAAAACATGGAGTGTCCAGCAGCACAGTGTCCAGACTTAAACCCCATCGAGCTGGTTTGGGATGAACTGGACAGAAGAGTGAAGCAACCTACAAGTGCCACACATTTATGGAAACTTCTGCAACAGACTCATGAAGAACTTTCTGAACAATATTTGATTTCTGTTGTAAAAAGAACGAGCCACGAGTGTGTTCAGCTGTTACATCTGCCAAAGGTGGACACTTTCATGAATCAAAAGTTCAGAATATGTATATGTAAACAAACTGGAAAAAGTGTGGTTGACTGGTAGTGTACATGTACATCCAAAGGAATTGAAATTGGACCTGTCACCTCGTCCGTCCGTACATTACAAACATACAATACAATACAATATGACATGAGGAAGACTACGTGGACTGGACCAGAAGACAGGTAGCAAATAAGAATAAACACTGCAGCATAACATGAGGATAAGAGGAGGAGAGAAAAAAAGAGAACAGCCCCAGACCATGCTTCTATCAGGGCATAGTATGGTAGACTGCACAAAAAAAAAAAAAAAAACATGAGCACATAATCTAACAAACTTTAAAAAATGAGATAGTTTATGTTGTATAGAAAAGAATCCCTACAAAATCCAACCTTTGTGACAGTTGTGGATGCCCTGTCAGCCAAACACGGGCAGTTTGAATTCCCCAAAAATTCCCCATTAAACACCCTCCTGAAGCTTTACTACGCACCTAAACAAAACCTGAAAAATCCTCCAGAATGTCAGTCAAACACGGGCAGTTTGAATTCTCAAAAAATACATCGTGCTTCTATGTGAGAATTCTTTCTGGGCCCAAGCTCCCTGGAGGTGCAGTACCTGGAGCAGCCACTAGTCAGTCTCAAGCCCAGACAGAGGGGAAAGTTCTTATTATAGATCCATGCTACATTTCCAAAGCTCCAAAAGCTCTGTTCCACGTTGTGATGTCACGAAGCAGTAGTTTTGAAGTTAACACCTTCATTTTCAGTTTAGTAGGGATTGGCAGAGATTTTCCCAGTCTGAAATGATCCAAATCATTCTTAAATTATTAGTGATTAGTGAAATTATTAGTGATTCTTCAAACACAACGGACTCCAGGCACTCCAAAAAAGTAAAAATCGCACAAGGATATAGTTATAGTTAAAAGGCCTTTATTTAAATGGCCATGTTTCAACCAACCTGGTCTTCATCAGGGCTTATTTAAAAGAATTCTCATGATTCTGTCGTCTGATTCTATTCTAGTTCCTCTATTACGATAGAACATCACAAGGTGGAACAGCAGTGATTCCTGTCTGAGAGAAGAACTCAACTCAACAACTCCATGTTTGCTCTTGATGAGGAAGCAATGTTCAAACAGATCAGAAAAAGAGTAATATGCATCTATCTTCAAACTACATAACATTTAGAAGATTAGATGCTTGTACGTTGTAAATCCAGATGATGTATAGGTCCACGCTCACATTACAGTTGATAATTCCATGTACGAGCCAGCTCAGCGATTTGGGCGGTCCTCAGTCATCTTTCACTCAGACTCTGCGCCATACATCAAACAGCCTCACGCGTTACTACGGTTACGCCCCATCGCCGCGCTGGACTTTAATACACTCGCGGTATCGGGGAGGATGGCAAAGGACTCAATCTAAAGCTAAATCATCTTCGGTTTGGTCATAGATCAGATAGAAAATACGGGAGATAAAGTAGAGTTCTGTTTTAAGTGCACTGTTAGCATGCTAGTTGTTTTTAACTGGCATCTGAAAGTTACTAAAAGCACTTATAAACTGACTGTGGTGAATAATCAGGATGCTCTGAATGCATGAAGTAAGTGAGAAAGAACTTTGGAGCACTGCAAACTGTTTAGAATGAACTACTTCTGTTTTTCATGTTCTTAAAGGTTGTATGGAGGATTTTTTTTTGTTTCAAATTGTCAGTGAAAGTTTAAAATACCATTACAGAGACGCAGCAGCCTTGTAATTACGATGACCAACAAAAAAAAAAAAAAAAAAAGAATGAAAATCTATCAACTGTGGACGTGTTGAGGCCAGATAAACATCAGCCAATAGAAAACAAGGCTACCTCATTTTCTATTGGCTGTTAGGTTGTCAATCAAACTCCCTATGTTTCTAGTGTAACTGACTCGCCGGCGTGCGAGGATTATGTGGTTTATGCAGCGGTTTTTAGAGGCCGTTTCAAACTGTAGCTTCCTCTCATTTCGCTCAAAGTTTGTTGAGACGGCGGACGAGAATCCACGACCGGTTCGCCGCAAAACAAAGTCTGTTTTTGAGGTCGCTGAGAGAAGAAGAGAAGGGAAAAGGAGCAAATTCAAACACGTGATTCTTGGAGATCTCTTCCAGTGATTGCGCGAACGAAGCAGACAAAGGGTCTAAAAACTGACGTGCCGGTCGCTAAATTATTTCTAGGCAGGTCACTTCAGCAGTAATTCTGAACACGCACTGACTGTAAACAAGCGTGATTTCTAGAGTAAGGAGGCGGGAGGAGGTGTTTCTACTGAGGGAGCGGTGAAGGAGGAGGAAGGTGGTGTCACGCATGCACAACATTTGAAAAAGGACTGTCGCTGTATTTCTCTTCCCTTAAGAAAATCCTCTATACAACTTTAAGACAACAAAAATTTGATACAGCAACCTTAACCTGCATCTAGAGGACAAAGTGGAGTTTTGCCGTCCTCTGTACAATAAAGATAACAACAATTAGTATGCTAAACCACACTTCCTGATCTCAGAATACAGCTCTTTCTAATTAGATGCAAATAGTACAGTACACGCTCTTGAGAACCAGTTTTGACCTCAAGAGACAGATTTAGCTGAAGTTAACAATAACCATCTTCCTGATTATGGGACAGTAAAATGCTTCATAATGGACTTTTTTTTTTTTTTTTTTTTTTACAATGGACGGAAGTACCCCGCGGAACTTCTGGTTAATAGTTTTCTACTCTCTCCACCAGCTTCATAAACCTGCCCCATCACCAGATCTTCAGCCAACAAGGTCCACAAAGGATAGACATTCTTACATGAAGAATTTATCCACAACTATTAGTGATGGGCAAATGAGACGGAGCTCCGGAGCACGTCTCGTTCTTTCTGAAACATATTGGCAGTGATTCGGAGCTCGTCTCGCAGCAGCCGCTCACGTGACCAAAGTGTCCAAGTGTCGGTCCCTCCCCCTACTGTTTCGCTCTGCGTGTCAATCGCTTCAGTGTATCGAAGCGTTTCATTGGGTCGGCGAATGTTCCATTCTGTGATTGGTTCAGAGTGCTTCAGAGTGTTCAGCGCACTTCCGTGGTTTGACAAGCGCTAAACTGCTACAGTATAAAAGATGCACCAATATTTCTTAAAAATGTTGGGTAGTGAGGAGGATTGTTTGACGTTAGTGGTGATTTTGGTGACTTTTGGCGGCTTTTGGCATTTGTTTAATTTTCGATGGCATCTACAAGTGGAAAAAGCGATCCATGGTTTGGGATAGCTTAGATTTTTTTTTATTTACAGCTGCTATTTATGTTGCTCTTTACATATTATTTTAAATCATCATTATTATTGTCGTTGTTAGGTACGGTGTATGCTCTGCACACAAGTATTGTCGGTAACACTTTATATTAACTACACCTTATTTAGTCTTAATGAAGCATGAACAAAGGCTTAATTAATAATGAACAAAGATTTAATTAATAATTAAATTGTTAATTAATTAATTGATTCATGCTTAGTAACTACTCAATTATTACCTGAATTAGCACTTAACTTGCACTTAATTCGCCTGTGCTGTAAATAATTACTCGTAAGTATTTCTTACTTAATTACTCATGAACTAACCATTTGTGTGCATTTCTAAATGTATATTTAAGTACAAATTTGAGCATTTATTAATGATTAGTAAGCCATGAGAGAATGATTTACTAGTAATGCATTATTGTTTCTCTGGAATTTGATCAACCTTTACAAATGCTTCATAAAGCATAATTAGTCTTCACTTTAGAAAAGCTCTCAGAAAGACTTAACTAACAGATAACAGCTGCCTGAATGATCATTGCATTGTATTATTAGTAAATTATTCTCTCATAGCTTATTAATCATCAATAAATGCTCAAATGTGTACTTAAATATACATTTGTAAACATGCAAATGGTTAGTTCATGAGTAATTAAGTAAGAAATACTTGAGTAACTATTTACAGCACAGGCGAATTAAGTGCAAGTTAAGTGCTAATTAAGGAAGTAATTAAGTAGTTACTAAGCGTGAATCATTATTAATTAAGTCTTTGTTCATGCTTTATTAAGGCTAAATAAGGTGTAGTTATTATAAAATGTTACCGTATTGTCTTATTGTTAAATTTGTCCACTAGAGGTCAGTGTTTCTCCAAGGCCTCAGACACGTCGAACCATTTGAGACAATATTGCGA